ACTAGTGAAAGGAAGACAATGTACATATCCACACAGAGAAAATTGTCTCACATATATGTATATATCCATACAGTATTAACCATTCAGTTTTTTGTTGATACATTGAAGGAATGATAATCCTTGACATATATGTATATATCCTTTCTTGACTAATCTAAATTTTATTTTTTTTTTATTTCGTCTAATGTGAATTTCATACCTATCGATGGTTAAATATATATATATATTTTTATTGTCATTCACAGAGAAAATTGTCTGCCAGAGAAAATTGTTTGCAGAAATTTCTCTGGTATGAACTACCAGAAATTCACAAAGAAATTTAACTTGTATCGTCCCAAGGGGATGCCTATATGATCATGTAATCTGTAATACTTTGTGTTGGTACAAAACAATCATCAAACTCAACAAAACACAAAGCACACAGTAATTTTATCTGCCACTAAAAAATTTCATTGCATGAATTTCAAATTTCAGAACACAATGCCCAGATAGTTTTCTCTGATGGTGGAAAATTTCTCTGGATGAATTTGACAGGTAGTGACAGAAAATGGAATTTCTGAGTTATGAATTTCTCTAGGTTAAGTGATTTGGAGAGGAGGAATTTCTCAGAGTTGGTGAGGAAAATTTCTCTAGCTTTGACAAAAATTTCTGAGTTGAAGTGAGTCAGTAATCCTCAAATGTATTATTCAATCAATAAAATATATTATCCTCAACTATTTAACAAAGGTTCCTTGCATGTCCTCTTATTATGGTGACCAATACTCTCACAACGACTACACTTAATCCCCCTTTTAAACTCTCCAGTAGAAGCAATTCTGTTTTTCTTCGGCCTCCCAGCAGGTCTCTTGCTCAATGGAGGTAAAATCATAGCATCTTCAATGCTACACATAGGTTTTTAAACAGTTGGAACTGAGCCAATCGAAAACGAGTATGCTTGACGATACATATCAGCATGAAAAAATGGTTCAACAAATGAATTCAAATTCTTTCCACTCCTAAAAATTACAGCAGCAGCATGTTGACATGGATACCCATTTATTTCCCATTTTCGACATAAACAAGTTCTCAACCCAAGATCAACCATAACCGAAGGAAAACAATGCACTTCAAAGACATTATCAGATGATAAACTCACATTCCATGTCCTCCTATCCAAAAAAGACTTCTCTAACACACTATCCATACGATGACACAGAATTTTATTTCATTTACTAGAGAGCAACCTCATATCAGACCTCATATTCATGATTTCCAATCGTATCATGTCCACCAAATTTGTTATTGGCAAGTGCCGAGCTTCTCGTATCCATGAATTGAATGACTTAGCAACATTTGAATACATCTCACCATAACGTTTCCCCGCAAAATATGCATCACTCTAATTTTCATATGATAAACTTCTTAAGAAAACACTCACAATGTCTCCTCCCTCACTTTTTAATTCATTTAACTTGAAATGAAATGATGTCTTTGTTGGAGCATATGCACATTCTGAAAACTTCGACACAATCGTCTCCCTAACCAAATTTGTGTTTCCGCACGACAACTTATCCCTCAAATTTCTCTTTAGATGTTCCAGACAAAATCCATGAAAGCAGTTAGGGAAAAACCTAGCAATTCCCTCCACAATACCACAATGTATATCTGATATGAAACTTATCACCCTTTCTGATCCCAATACTCCACATAAATGTTCAAGAAACCAACACCAATTGTCTTTATTCTCAGCATCAACAACAGCAAAAGCTACAGGAAAAAAACGTACAAAACAAATAGGAACAAGCATATTAGATATATACATGCAGAGAAAAATAGAACAATAAACAACCAGAGAAGTTTGACACTGCCAACATCCAGAGAAAATTCACTTAGTGCCCAATTCCAGAGAAAATTCACACATTGGCAACATCCAGAGAAAATTGACTTAGTGACCAACTATAGAGAAAATTCACACAATCATAATATCCAGAGAAAATTCACTTAGTGACCACCTACAGATACAATTCACACAATGACAACATCCAGAGAAAATTCATACACTGACCAAAATCCAGTGAAAATTCTCACAGTGGCCAAAACCAGAGAAAATTCACATTCACTCAATTCCTACATGTATAGAAAATTCACATACTTAGATAAAATTAGATATATTTACAATTACCTTCATTCCCATCTTTTCCCGTTGCAACAAGCATAATTCATTTGTATCGTCCTTTCAAAAATGTTTCATCAAGAAAAAGCAATGACCGACAATATTTGAAACCAGCAATGCATGCATGAAAAGCCACAAACACTCTTTTGAAACGCTTGTTATCTTCAAAATCTAACTCAAAACGACTACCTGGATTGTTCTTCAATGCCTCATCAAAATACCACCGTAATTGACGAAATGACAAACAAGAATTCCCATATGTACTACATTTTGCTTTTTCAACACCCAACCAACCACAGTTATAACTGATTGAGACCTTATACTTGTCTTTCATTTTTTTCACAACATCCACTGGACGAGTTAAAGGTTTTGCACTTACCTCTTCAAGTATCAGCCCAGAAACTAAGCTGGAAGTCATCCTCGAATGTTTACTCGTACGAACCGCTACACCATACGTATGTTCATTATTCAAAGTCCTTATGTAAAAGAACGCATTTGTTTTTTCAACAGAAGCATGTATATGCCACATACATCCCCTTGATTCCTTATATGCACATTCTGCCGTAACCCTCAGCTTGCCATTTTTAATATACGTAAACTAAAAACCAACCTCAATAGCATACTTGCATAAAAAAGTACGGAACTCAACCACACCACCCTCAAACTTTTGTCCAACGCTCGTAATATTATTTTGCCAACTAGCCGACAATAACACATTTTCTTGGTGAGAACAAAACTTAGAGAGTGAATTCCTTTCAATATCCACCAGCCTATCACACTCACCATCCACAACATCTACCCAATTAGACCCCACTTCATCCTCTTCATCAGAAGTACTACATCTACTAACTGAAACATCAACTATATCAACACCGCGTGCACAAACAACCCTCAACATATTCAGAAAATCAATATTATTTCGAACCATACAATTCGGATGGCCCAAAATAGAATATGAAATACACATAGTCTCAGGTTTCAAATTCTCCCATGTTTTACACAAAATGCCAACCAATTCCTCAAAATTCAATTCGCATGAAACATTAATGACAATAGTATCATTCCCATATTTGCACAGCAACAACACTGCACTGTCCATTGAAACTGAAACAAAAAAACAAAAAAAATAATTTGTTTAACATAGAAACACTTCACAAGAACAACATAAAAGTCCAGAGAAATTTCTAAAAATTATAATTTTCTCTGAACTTAAAATAAAAGTCCAAAGACATCTACAAACTGATATTCACCTTCAAGATGATAAAAAACAAAATCACAGAAACTTAATGAATCACAGAGAAATTTACTGCTAACTATTAAACACAATCATAGAAAAAAATCACACAGAATATCTGTTATGAAATTATAGGCTTCTCCATGATTTTCACCTCACTACAACCTAACAATTTTTATGCGTCATTTTGTAATATTGCACTCATAGAAAAATTCAGAGAAATTTACAAACTTATATACACCTTCAAGATAACAAAAAACACTGCATTGTCCATCTAAACTGAAAGAAAAAACACAAAAAATAACTTTTGCTTAGACAAACAAAAACTTCTATAATTTTCTACAAACATATAATTTTCTCTGAACTACAAACTGAAAGTGAGTAACAAACTTACAATTTTCTCTGAATTACAAATACAAGTCCAGAGAAATTTATGAACTTACATTCACTTTCTCATATTCTATCTGCATTAGAAACTTCTAATAATATGTCCATATGCACTTATAATTTCCTCTAGACTACACAAACAAAAGTGCAGAAAATGAAATTTCTCTGGTTTGAAAAAACATATAACAAAACTTATCATTGATCAGCATGTTGATAAAAAACAGAGCACGAAAAATGAACTCTAAACATCAAAATCATTTACATTGTCAACACTATTTGAAATTGATCAAAAAACAAAGAATGAAAAATTAATTAATTCCAAATATAAAAATCAACTCTATCAACCTGGCCTCTCTCTAAACAAAAATTTAAAACAAAAATCAAAATCCATGTGGAATCTAAATCGAAAACAAACCTGATTCAACTCCACTAAAAAACCTATGCGATCAACACACTGTCAACACTCTTTGAAATTGATTAAAAAACAAATAATAAAAAATTAATTCCAAAAATAAAAATCAACTCTATCAAGCTGGCCTCTCTCTAAACAAAAATTCAAAACAAAAATCAAAATGCATGTGGTATCTCCATCGAAAACAAACCTGATTCAACTCTACTAAAAATCTACGCGATCAACACATTGTAACACCACTGAAATCTCTGACGAAATCTCCAACGAAATCTATACGATCGTAGTAATTTTTCTCGTCAACTCCACTGAAATCTCCGACGAAATCTCCACCATGAAATCTCCACTGAAATCTCCGACAAAAACTCTGACGAAATCTCCACTACAAATTCGGTTTCCAAAATCTATCAGTTAAGTCAACAATATAATATTCAAACAAATTTATGTTATAAAGGAAGGGTAATTTAGGTACTTCACAACCTAAAATAAATTTGAGGGACATTAACCATCAAAACATATTATTTTAGACCTCTCCACCTATCAAAAGTAGAAGGGGACCTTAGGCCAATTTCCCCTTTTTGTTTTGATCATAGTTATTAGTATAAGAATTGTTAAATTATTTTTATATAAAATAATAAAATAAATAAAAAATATAAAAAATTAAACATTAATATTTAAATTTTTTTTTCAAATATGTAAAAAATAAAAAAAAAATAAAAAAATTTCTAATCCTCTCACTATTTTTTTAATACAACCTCCTCCATCTCAATCCTTCTTTCAACATGCATCTTAATCGCATCGTCTCTCCTAATCCATTCCCTCACTCGGCAGACAAACACAACAGTAAAATAACTCCCCCTCCGTCCTAATCCCATTCCATCCATTAGAATTTACAACCCAAAAACAAACGGGGCCTAAAAGAAGAACATTGCGTCTGCTCTGCGTTTCTCTTCAGAAACCAGAAAGATGAGAACTTGGTTCGTTCCTTCATCTATTGCTCCATGGTTGATTCGTACTCGCACAACCCATATATCTTTCTTCTCATCTTCGATCTCACACTCTCAACCCCCTACCTCGATTTCAAATCCAACCTCCAAACCCATCTCAGATTCTCAAATCTACTCATTGTCATTTTTATTTCTCGACAATCCCAACACAAACACTTCTTTTCCCAAGAAATCCCGTTCAGAAACTGGATTTTCTGCTTCCACGGAACCACCCAGGTGCGAATTCACCGAATCCATTTCACAAAAGAAGAGTCTTGAGCAAACCCATGTGATAAAAGTTCTGTTAAGCCAAAGGAACGACCCGGATTCAGCTTTTAATTACTTCAAATGGGCTGAGAAACAGCGCGGTTTTGCCCGTGGCATTGTTGGCGCCTTTTGTGTTTTGCTCTGCATTTTGGTGGGTTCACCCAACCATCATCAAATCGCTCGTAATATGCTTAATCGATACGTTTTGGGGGATTCAAGTCCCTCTTCTTGCATTCTTGTTGATCACTTGGTTGACTGCTCGAAAAGGTTTGAATTTGATTCAGATTCACGGATTTTTAATTATTTGTTGAATAGTTATGTTAGAGCTGGTAGATTCAACGATTCATTTGATTGTTTTGATAGAATGATTGAAAGCAATATAGAGCCATGGGTTATGTGTATAAATGTTTTTTTGACTGCACTGGTTAGGAAAAACATGATTGCAGAAGCGCGAGGTTTGTACAATAATGTAGTCTCGAGAGGAGTAAATTATGATTGTTGTACTGTAGAGACAATGATGCGTGCGTGTTTGAATGATGGAAAGGCTGATGAGGCTGAACGGTACTTTTGGGAAGCTAAGGCTAGCTTCATTAAGCTTGATGCAGCGAATTACAGTACTGCTATTCAGGCTGTTTGCAGAAAACCCAATTCAAATGTGGCATGTGAGTTGTTAAATGAGATGACGAAAATGGGGTGGGTTCCTTCAGTGGGCACATTTGCATGTATAATTGGAGCCTGTGTGAAGCAAGGGAACATGGTAGATGCTTTAAAGGTAAAGGACGAAATGGTTAGTAGTGGAAAGCCAATGAATTTGATTGTTGCTACAAGCCTGATGAAGGGATATTATATGGCGGGTGATTTGGATAGTGCTTTGAATTTGTTCGATAAGATTGTTCGTGATGGACTTGAGCCAAACATGGTCACTTACTCGGTTCTGATTGAAGGATGCTTTAGAGGTGGAAAAATGGAAAGGGCATCTGAGTTATGCACTCAAATGAAACTTGCAGGTATCCAGCCAAGTGTCTATATTGTGAATTCATTGATACGGGGATTTTTGGGAGTGCATCTGTGGGAAGAGGCATTCAAGCATTTTGATGAGGCGGTTGAGTGTGGTATTGCCAATGTATTTACATACAATAACATGATATGCTGGCTTTGCAAAGAGGGTAAGGTGGATGAAGCCTGCAGTGTATGGAAAAAGATGGTGAATGAGGGAGTGGAACCAAGTGTAGTTTCATACAACAACCTGATACTTGGTCACTGCAGAAAAGGGAATATGGACATGGCATCACGCCTATTTTCAGAGATGCTGGGAACAGGTTTGAAAGCTAATGTACTAACATATAGTATTTTGATTGATGGATATTTTAGAAAAGGTGAGACTGAACAAGCCCTTGGCATGTTTGATCAGATGGTGGACTTGGGAATTTCCCCTACTGACTTTACATTTAATTCATTTATCAATGGTTTGTGCAAAGTTGGCCGCACATCTGATGCAATGGATATGCTGAATAAATTTGTAGAGAAGGGTTTTATCCCAAATTGTATGTCTTACAACAGCATTATAGATGGTTTTATCAAGGAGGGTGACATCACCTCTGCATTGGCTGTTTATAGAGAGATGTGTGAATGTGGGGTTACCCCCAATGTTGTCACTTACACCAGTTTGATTCATGGGTTTTGCAAAAGCAATAATATTGATCTCGCTTTGAAAATGCGGGATGAGATGACAATGAAGGGTCTTCAATTGGATGTCACTGCATACGGTGTCCTCATTGATGGATTTTGCAAAAGAAGAGACATGGAAAACGCATGTGAACTCTTCAACGAACTCCTTGAAGTTGGTTTGTCTCCTAATGCAGTTGTCTATAGTAGTATGATCAGTGGCTTCAGAAATCTAAATAACATGGAAGAAGCACTTTCCTTGCATAAGAAAATGATCAATGAGGGAATCCCATGTAATTTGGCAACATACACCACATTAATTGATGGTTTGCTAAAACAGGGGAAAATACTTTTTGCATCAGAATTATACACCGATATGCTTTCCAGTGGCATTGTGCCTGATGAGGTCACATATACTGTCCTGGTACATGGTCTTTGTAATAAAGGGCATCTTGAGAATGCACACAAGGTATTGGAAGAGATGGATAAGAAGAGTATGGCTCCTAATGTTCTTATTTATAATACGTTGATTGCTGGGTACTTCAAGGAGGGGAATTTGCAAGAAGCTTTTAGATTGCATGATGAGATGCTTGACAGAGGTGTTGTACCTGATGATACAACTTATGATATTCTTGTAAGTGGAAAATTTAGAGGGAATAAATTCCATGTTGGTGCCTCAAGTGTCTAATAACCAGTAAAATGGTTATCATCTACAACCTACTACCAGAGTTTATTTAGTCTCTCAAAGGAGAAAATTATCTGCGGTTGTGATATTTGTCATTTTCATGTCTGCAGCTCTGTCTGAGGAGGTAACATTCTTTTGTCACAATCATGTAGTACTTTTGAATTTGTTGGCACACTGGTGGGTTGTACATGACTTGTGTCTCCGCTATTTTCTGCTTCTTTCTTCTAGGTTGAGTGCTTTTGTCCCTCCTTGGCTAATCAAGACCAAAAAACCAAAGATTGGCACATATACTTCCAACCTTAACTGGATCGTTTCAGTCCTTTAAAGGTATAAATCATAACTCCACTGCGTTTTTTCCATCTACAGTTCGTTAATGTGGTTGTTATGATTGTGTCCATTTATGATTTCTTCATTTTGGTGGAGGAAATGCTACTTTATTGCATAGTTGCTGGAATTGCCTACTAGGGTGACATTTCTGCTCTGGAACTGTGATTCCATGGTTTAGAGCTGGCAACAAGTTAGAACCATGTTCCCCTCGAGATAGAATCATGACTACGATTGGGATAGGACCTTTCCAAAGCCTTGGAAAGCGTGAATTTGATCTACAGTTCCTAATTTTTAAAGACGAATCCCAATTCCAGTTTCAATTCTTTTGTGCCAATCAGGACCTTAAATCCCATTGATTGGGTTACTGTTTTCTTCCCTGCCTAGACTTATTCACTTTTCTTTGATATTGCATTCATGTGTGCCTGAAATTTAGGTGGTGAATGGTCTATACCTGTAGTTACAAAATTGGCACCTTGTTTCTTTTTGCCTAACATGATATATTTTTTGGTGTTGATATTTTCTCTTCAGCGATGCTCTGTTTGGAATCTTATATTGGTTAATTAATGTCAGGCCCAAGGGTTTCCAGGACTTGCTCTGTTTTGCAAAATTCAAGGAAATGGATTACATCTGATGTTTTTGGTTTAGGGTTCTCCTCACCTTGAACTGCCCTTCTGAATTATCATGCTGCCATTTATCGGACACTCTCCTCCAGGTAAAACAAGGGCAAATAACCAGATTATTTATATATCTATTCTATTATATACAGCACACAATTCAAGAGCTTTGTCACAGTTTCTTGTTTTCCAAAATACTATGGGACTGTTAAAACTGCACATCGAGTAACTACTAAATAGTTTTCAAATTCAATCTCCATTTGTTAAACATTCTAAAAATTCTGATGTACAATTGCAAACGCTTGTAGATGTATGTATTTTATGCCTATGTGGGTGTTAGTTATCTATTTTCCTAAAAAGGTTGCCTCCCAGAAGATGGGATATGGGAAATTGTTGGCACTAAAATTTATCATCTCTGTCGAATAGCTACAATAAATACAGAGAGTTGATCCAAGGGATGATAGAGGTGAAAACCATAAGTTTCCGGTGGGAGATGGACCCTAAAATGTAGAGCTAAGTGACGAAATTAAAGGAACAGATGTAGCAGATTCAGTTTCTTCTGTCGATTCCTTTGATAACACAATGAGATGGGGCCTAACGTGGCTCAAGTGTCAAGTCATGAAATAAGGCACGCAGATGATGCAGGATACGTGATTTTTTTGCAGAGAAAAAGAGTGCTGCAGCAGAGGAGTAGTTACCAACAGTTGTGAAGATCGTGGGTAGTTATGCAAGAAGTGGGGGAAATTTGCTCCATGATGGGACACGTGGTAGCAGAGAAGCAACAAAGCCACGGCTGGAATTTCAAAGGAAAGAAGGGCAATCAAACACGCAACTCTTATGGAATTATGAGTAATTTAACTTAGTTAGCAATAGCTTCTGTATTTAGGAATAGTCTGTGTAGAATTTAGCCTCTGTGGCCAAGTTTCCCTCTGTCGATTGCCATGTACATTGAGCTTGTAATTTAATTCTTGTAATTAAGTGGCAAGCTTACTTGTTCTTCTATCGATCTTCATTTTATTCACATTTGTTTCTTCGCATTACAACCTCCACAGAGGTCTTTGAATCTGTCAAGGCATAAGACATTCAAACCGCAATTACTTCATTTGCTGTTGTTTGTGAAAGTTTGGTTTCTCTGTTGAATCTCGTCTGTCGATTTGGCTCTAACCAGATTTTTGCTAACATATTTTGGCACGCCCGGTGGGACCTGTCTAATTTGGAGTGATGGCTAGGAAGAAACAGCATGAAGTCTTTGAAGACCCTGAGAAAAGGGTTGAAGATGGAGAAGAGCTGGACGAAGGGCTTGAAGGAGTGCAAGAAAACCTAGCTGATGGCCATTCAGTGGCCAGGCAGAAAATAGGCCAAGGAAACGGCCAAAATATGGCCAGAAATGGCCAGTCTAGTTGCTCTCCTGTTGATCCAAGTAGGGCTTTTTTGTTGCATACTTAGCAAACAATTGGTTCCATGTCTGCGTATGAGAACCAAGTGATGATAGATGACTTGCTGGCTTTGTTTGAGAAAGCCAACATCAAACCAAGCCAATCAAGAAGGATTGGAGATGAAATTCAGGTAAGTAAAGCACAATTTATACCACTTATGACCTCTCAACAACATGAAAATGTAAATGAACCTGTGTCATTTTATAGACCTCCCACACTCCAAGAAAGATATGAGGAGGGTATGACCATAAATCCTGTGTTTGAGAGAGAGTACCCCACAAACTCAGTGTTTAATCATAACTTAAATATAAATAATATGGAAGTAAGACCTGGGGGGGCAACTAAGGCCACAAATGTATGGTACTCCTACATATGGTATTCCTGCATTTGATGGGCCTGGTTACCATGAACAAAGAAATAGGCTAATAAATCAAGCAAGGCCTCAGAATGTGCAGGAACATGTCATACAACAACCCTATTATGAACCTAACACTACAACAAAATTGACTTTTCACGGCACCACATCAACGACACGCAATAAATGCAAGCCGTAATTTCTCACTTTTACGACTTGCTTTTTTTGCATGTCGTAAATAATAGACTAACCACGATATGTCTATTGCGCAGGCCGTTAATGGTAAAAATGATAATTTTTTTACGGCTTGTATTGCGCGCTGTAATTAATAAAACTTTTTACGACATACATATAGCATGCCGTTAATACATTAGTATATACGACACACATCTGCCAGTCATTAAAAATAAGCCACTTTTTACGACTTACTATGTAGGTCGTGAATGGTATCCCAAAATACTTCTGGTGCCAAAACCCAATTTTTTTGCCGCCACTTATCAAAAAAAAAAATATTTAATTTATTTTTTTATTATCAAACAGACTGATACAAGTCAAAAAAAACAAAAAAAATACAGAGTTTCTAAGAAGAGAGGGAGACATAGGTGAAGGGGAAAGGTTTCTTCAAACATTTCTTCAATCGATTGAATCGGTGGAGATCCATTGACGTAGTCTGCTTCGACTTACTACGAGAAGAAAGGTCCATTGACGCAGTCTGCTTCGATTGCTTCGACTTGGACTTGGCTTCAATTTGTAATATGCTTCGACTGCTTCGACTTCGACTGGTAAGGCACTCTCTTTTCTCTTCCTTCTTCCTGAAACCCTTGTTTCGTCTCTCTCTCTCTCTCTCTCTGACTCTCTCTCTCTCTCTCGGTATATATATATATATATTTATATCCCTCTCCTCCCTTCTCTCCTCTCTTTTTCTGTTTGTTTTTATGCACTGTGGAATCTGTCCCTTTCTGTGCTTGAACTGATGGATGGATGAATGCATCTGCTATTTGTTTTTATATTGGGCGTTTGAGTTGTAAGAACTAGATTAATGTTGTAAGAGCTTTGAGCATTTGAATGAATATTTTATACCTATGTGAGCAGTGTACGTTGCATCTAGCTTTATATCTTAAGTGGCTAGCTTATTGGTTCTAGCAAAGGTTTTCTTGTCATAATGTCATTGCTGCACCATTATTTATTTATTCTTTTAATAATTTGCAGCAAAGGACTTGTTGCGTAATGTAGATGCTATGAATGTATGAACTGTTCTAGAGTGTTTGCAGGGCAGGATGCTTGACTCTGGACTTACAGCACTGTTTAACCCAAACAGATCTCATTAGTCATTATTTAAAATAAAATTTAAGTGCACAAATTCCAATCACAAAACACAATTTTCTCACATAAAGCATCATATTAAATAGTATCCAAATGTATCACTGAAAATTGAAAAAATTCATTCAACAATTAAGAGAAAATGGCATGAATCAATCATACCTATATAATTTAGCATAATCTCAATATTGGAATTGTCAGTAGGCTGCAATAACACATATGCCAGATTAGGGCACAAACACATTCTCATGAAACTTATCAAATTTCTTGCTCAAAGCCTTCATTCGCTTCACATATCCCCGCAACTGCCAGTCCAAGATGTCAGTCCACTGTATCCAAACTCCAATATTCAACACACTATTAAGCAAGAACAACTAATCTAGCATCTCTTGAACTTCTTCAAGAATCACAATAGATTTCTCATCTATGGATTCATTATAGTACTTTTTGCCCAATACAATTCTACTTATAAAGCTCTGTGCAACCTGCAAAAGATGATGTTATAGTATCGGATTTCTTAACAAAGCGAACCCGGTGGTGACCTATCAAATGGATCATTACACAATGTGATTAGTATCATGTCACATCATATAATGCCCAAATGCAATCACTAGTATTACTTAGATGGAACATACTACAAAGATTTTAACTCAATCAACTTGGACTAATACAAATCATGATTTTAAACATTGCCCTGATTAAAAGGTAAGGCATCCCATCTTTTATTGAACTCCAATAATTTATCCCCACCCTCCCAAAAAAAAAAAAAAAATGAAAAATGCACCAATGAAAGCAATTCTTTGTTTTTGTTGTCAACAAGTCAGCTTACTGATGTTACATGCAGGGCACCCTTCTTGTTTTTGTTGTCAACAAGTCAGATCACTGATGTTACATGCAGGTTTTGGATGGTCTAAGTTAGACATCTTGTCTTGACAATGGTTTTGGATGGTCTAAGTTAGATAAAATCCATAAGAACATCCAAAGATTTTCATTGATGTTTCAATGTAAATGACATAAATGTGACAGCAATTCAAAATCTAGACTCAATTTGCAGCTTCTTTCACTTCATAGGGTGGCCTAATTACCACAGATTGTGTTTGTGATCTTCTAATTGGCACAGACAAGGAAGATGTTCCTCAAGATTTTCTTGCTACTTGACAACATAATAGAAAACATTTCTGTTGCTTGATTAGAAATTAAAATCATATAAATCCCACAAAATCAAAGGGAGTTGCACTGTATATAGGGAAAAATACTAGGTTGTATAATTTCTTTGTGGAAAATGTGGAGCTTAGGATTGGTGATGGGAACAGGGTGAAATTTTGGGAAGACACTTGGAGTGGATCCTTAAGTCTTAAGTCTCAATTCCCTAGATTGTACCAGCTGACTTTAGACAAAGAGATCACTCTGAAATCGCAGATTTCTAGTCGGGACAGATTCAATAATTGGTGCTTTAATTTTAGAAGGCCCCTTCAGGAAAAAGACAAAGCAAGTTTGGAGAGTTATTTTCATCTTTGTGGTGTGGTCTCTGTGGTTATATGGAAATGATTGCATTTTTAATAATACTCAGCCTGATTTAGATGATTTGTGTGAGGTAATAAAAGTTAGAGTGGCCATGTGGGTGAAGTCTTATGAGTTGGGTTGTGTCTACTCCATTCAGGAGATTGTCTCAAATATTAAATGGGTGAGTCAACATCTTTACGGGTGAGCTCTGCTAATTTGTGGTGCTGCTAATTTGTTTCAGCTCTGCTGCTGTTGCTTTATTTTCTTAAGCTTGCTGTTCTGCTCTGACTTTGTTGCTCTGGATCTATTAATCTGTTGCTGTTGCTGTTACTTCATTCATGTGTGGTGCTGCTAATTTGTGTGAGCTCTGCTACTGGTTTGTTCTGGCTGTTGCTCTATTTTTCTTCAGCTTGCTGTTCTGATCTGACTCTATTGCTCTGGATCTGTTTATCTTTTGTTGTAGCTGTTACTGGGGCAGTTCAGTTGGGTCATTTGCTTTGTTACTTTGGTGTTGTAATCTGTTTGTTGTGTGGTGTTGTGGAGGTTGGTTTCTCATCAACTTCCTGGGATGCTAGCATATGATTGGGCGTGCGTTTGGGTGCCAACCTAGTTGGGATCCATTTGTTTGCTCTTATGCTTGTGCACCCTCTCTTGTTTTTGTTGTAATCTTTTCCATCAATAAAGTTTTCTTCTTATTTTAGGTTCTTTAAGTGTCTAGTGGCTAGCATTTAGCTGCCTGCTCATAGGCTTCTGGTTCTATCAAATACATGTTTTTTATAAGTAAATATTTCTGGTTTGATTAAACATATCATAACTTTACATCGCTGTGAATCACTTGATTATTCTGAAGGTGAACCTTATTGTGAATTCTGTTTTATATATATATATATATAATTTGCTGTGGCAATGTGCACCTGCACCTTATGAGCAAGTAGTTGCTTGTTTTCTACAAAGTGGGGGGAATTAGTTGCTGCCTAATGGACTTGCTTTTTTATATCATTTTCTGCTATGTCCTATGTGAAGTTATTAATAGTGTATGAAACTGGAAGTAGTGGCAAACCTGGTTTGGTTTCCCCTAATGTGTGAGTATGCCAACATAGGTTCTTTGATAATAATAATAAGGTTTACTTACCGTTGTACTAAAAATTAATGTTGTGGTAAAAGATTGGCTCTATTAGATTTTGGAAAAAAGTAACTTTTCTGTATCTTATTTCTTTCTTTCTTAGAAGATGATTGAATGATTTGGATAGTTGGTAGAACTTGAGTATTTTTATTTTTTATTTTTTAAGAGAAGGAAGCTGCCCCTTATTTTACCAAGATTTCAATACTATATTGTCCTTCTATCCAATTGCAAACCTTATCAATGTGATCATGGGTTTGGAGGATTACTCATAAACAACAAAACTCTA